TCAGCAGTTCACGCCATCTGTAACTCCAGGTCCGCGGGATTCAGTGCCCTCTTCTGGGTCTGTGGGCACATACATGCACATAGGCAAACACCCATACACATGGAACCTAAAGCAAGACCGAGGAAAACCCGCAACAGCAGCAACACGAGCCGCTCTGCTCTCGTTATACCCCGACTTCCGCACTGCCAGCCTGTATTTTATAGACCAGCAGACAGGCATGTTGCACGTCCAAATTCAGGGTGGGTGCCACTGTCCCCTCGAGCACCTCATTAATAAGATAATTCTTTATTTTAAAAGACAAACTGTGTAATTAAGAGCTGATTATTCACCCATCAAACAATTCTTCACTCTGACCGGAGGAGCCCTTAAGTAGCCGATTCTCCTCACTGCGTTTATCGGGGTAGCTCATCAGCTATTGGGCAGAGATCTCCATGCATGCTGAGGGTGAGCACCCAGGGCTGAAGGACAGAATGAGATGCAGAGAAAGTGTTGTGGACCCATGCATTTATTCCAAGAAGTCCCCCAAGAACGCATTTATTAAATTAAAAAAATATTTAGCAGATTTGTAGACCATCTCTGTCTATCATCAGTGAGACAACAGTCTAGACTGTTACAGAGTCTCACCGTGTATCTCAGGCTGGCTTCTGCTGTCTGTCAATCAATCAATCAATCAATCAATCAATCAATCATCTGTTGTGACAGGATCTCACTGTGTAACGGGCTGGCCTTGAACCCGAGGCCCCTGCTGCAGGGTCCCTGGTACCGAGCTTACAGCCGTGCATTGGCGCTCCTTGCTTTTTAAACAGTTCTTTGCGCTCTGGAGGAGGGAAGGCGCTGGGGTCGAGAACGCCGTGTCTAAGCTCGCTCTGCCTCCCTGGTCATCAGCGCTTGGTACCAGCGTTCCCTCCAGACCGTTGTCTCCTCCCCCTCCCCCCCCTCCTCCCTCCTCCTCCTCCTCTGCCTCCTTCTTCTCCTCCTCCTTCTCCTCCTCCTCCCCCTCCTCCTTCTCCTCCCTCCTCCTCCTCTTCTTCCTTCTCCTCCTCCCCCTCCTTCTCCTCCTCCTCCCCCTCCTCCTCCTCCTCCTCCCCCCCTCCTCCCCCTCCTCCTCCCATCACATAACACTGTATCTGCAGGGAGGGTTGCTCTCGTGCCCGTTCAATGACATTACACACCCACAGGACCTCAGGGTAGGGCCTGGAGCATGGTATGGTAGGGCTTAACATATGGGCTAGCCTATTACTGTTGTCAGCGGGCCATTGCTGGTTTGGAGGGCTTTACTCCTGCGGCACTAGATGCAGAAGTAAGAGGCTGTGGAGAGCACACCAGTGTGGCGAGGGAAGTGACTGAGAGGAGTGTCAGTGTGTCTGTCCTCTCGTGCCTCCCCACGCTGTGCCCTGGCTCTCTCTTCCTCTTTCTCACTGGTTTTGGTTCTCATCAGCTTTTCCTTTTAGAGTCTGAATGTTGTTGTTTTAGGTGGCCAGTCGGTTCCTTCACACTTAGTGTTTATAGATTTTATTTTCTTAGTTGTTAGATGTTAAGTTTGTGCTCACTGGCCAGGAAAGCAGCTAAGCTGTCTGTTCCCTTCCAGGTAAAGATGGTTGCCTTGGAAACACTCAGATACTCTGTCCTGATGAGAGACTTAAAAAACTTTTAGAAAGAAGGATGTGTGTGAGCTTGTGTGAGTTTATACACACCATGTGGATGTAGTACCATCAGAAACCAGAAGAGGGCAGATCCTCTGAAACTGGAGATACAGGTGGTTGTAAGTCACCATGTGGGTGTTGGGAATTGAACCTAGGTCCTCTGCAAGAGCAGCCAGTGCTCTTAACCTCTGAGCCATCTCTCCAGCTCTACAAGAGGACCAGACCCAATGGGGTCTGGACTTCAAAGTGGAGTCACTTATACCTTCTGTGAGCCTCTGCTCATCTGTGACATAGGAACTGCAGGTGCCCAGCCAGGAACACTACTAGGGAGCCACCTGTACGGCTTGCAGGGCAGAGTGGGCACCAGCAGTTTTTCTCTCCAGACCTTGCCCCCTGTCTGCAGGACAGCAGACTCACTCACGAGCTGGCACCTCCGTCCACACTACATCTTTCTTTGCTTTTATGTGCTTGCTCCGTCTCTCACAGTTTGGGGACATCCGAGTTTCTCACAGGATGCAGCGATGGGGTTTTGGATTCTTGGGACTAATGTGCTCATTTGCAGATCTTATTGTGCTTCTTGGTCCTGGCATTTAAGTGGTAGAGCAGTCTCCAACCCACTTGATTAGATAGATGTATAGCATCTCACATTCTCCAGGGACACACCAGGAGGCGTGGCTTCTCCACCTCCCATTGAGGATAACTTTGCTGGAACTGCCCTGTCCATTGTAGGTTGCTTAGGAACATTCTTGGCCTCTATCCGCTGTGATCCGTCAGCGTGGCAATTGAAGATGTCTCTAGACATTGCCAGATGTAGGGGGGCAAGATCCACTCTTCCCACTCCCACTTGGTCAATTCTCAGCCATCATTTGATTTTTGCCCAGGGGTGAGACTCTCCCTCACTGGCCTTCTTCAGTGTTCAGCAGTGAAGGGCAGTGGAACACCCCCCCCCCCTCCCCCATACACACACACACACACTCCAGGGTTTTGTGTCTTGAAGGATGAATCATCAAATTTCGAGCCAAGTGGTCTTGGTACAGAATGGGCTGGGATAATGTAATTGTTGAGGGGCTGAGGCTAGGGTCTATATCTAGGCATTCTTTGTTGACCACGCTGCCTTTTGACTTTGTAAGTTTTACTGGCTGGCTTCCCGGGCTTGCTCAGCCAGCTTTTTCCCACAGTCCAGGCACACCTGCCTGTGGAGAGGTAGCTCACGGAGGCAGAAGCACAGGAGAAGCAAAACTCTCCATTCATGGCTGGACAGAAAAGAAAGAAGAAAGGACATGCCCTCAGGGGCCCAGCTTCCTCCCCCTAGGCCTCACCTCTCAAAGGTTCCACTACCTCCCAGGAGCCTGCAAGCTGAGGAACATACGGGCCTTTACCATACGGGCCTCTGGGGAACATTTAAGATGGAGACTGTAGCCTAATGTTTCAAGACTAGCAGGCTGAAGGACGGAGGGGAGTCTCCTAGATTCTGTGATCCAGGAAATGCTTTCAGAATGGCCACCTCTGGGCAGGAAGATTTTAAGGTCACTGAGGACCAGAGTGAGGCGAGGCAGGGTCGCTGCCCTCACGAACTTGGAGCCACTGTGCAGTCTGTGCAGGATCAAGCCCGTCCACACCCCAGCGTGGAGGCGGAAGGGTCTCATGCGCCCCCACTCCTAACTGAGCAGCTATGGACAGTTGATGGCTTCGGGGGAGGGACAGTCACTTTTCATTAAGGATAGGGCTCCTCCTGGGTCAGCCACACTCTAGACCAGTGCTTCTCAACCTTCCTAATGCTAAGACCCTTTAATACAGTCCCTCAGGTTGTGCTGACCACCCCCAACCATAAAATTATTTACGTTGCTACTTCATAACTGTGATTTTGCTACTGTTGTGAATCGTAATGTAAATATTCATGTTTTCTGATGGACTTAGGTGACCCCCTGTGAAAGGGTCATTTAACCCCAAAAGGGGTGGAGATCAGTCAGTTGAGAACCGCTCTTCGAGTGGGTGGCCCCACTCCCAGGAGTATATGGGAAGCACAAAATGTAATTGATGGGTTATTAAAAAAAAAAAAAGACACAAGGTTGGAGGGTCAGGAGGGTTGTCGTTCTGGGAGGAGTTAAGAAGAGTTAGGGGTAAATATGATCAAAATACATCGTATGGAATTCTCAAGGCATTTTACAAGAAAAGGAATGGACCCTGAACATGCCTGTCAGCATAGCCTCAGATGGCCAGCGGTCACTAGCTCCCCAGTACATGTGCTGCAGGCTCCGGATGCGTTCACTGAGTCCAGTCTGCACTACCTGGGAAGGCCTGACTCCTTTTGACTTCTAGGTTGGGCAGGGTGATATGCTTGCTAACACTTCCAGTACATATTTGTCCTGGGTGGGCCAGGTGTCCACTCTTGCTAGAACGCAGCTTCATGTGCACGATCATGCGTTCACAAGCCTCCTCCCCGCTGGAGGCCTTGGAGGGTGGGGGTGAACGCTGGCTGCTTTGCTATGAGATAATTGGGGTTGAATTCCTCGTGTATTAGGTGTGTGGTATTTTTATGGTTCTGCTTTTAACAAAGGAATTTGCAAGTCTGGAAAATCAGAATGAGTTGGTTGGAGCATTTCTTGGATTAGGAAAAGCGGTCCTAATGAATTTTATTCACTGTGCATTCCATGCCGCTGATCTTAATAGGTTCGTCCTGGATTACTGCAATGGCCTGCATTTTCTGTCACTTCAATTTAGCATTAATTGTTTTATATACTGTACAGAAAAATGTGACGGGGCAAGCCTCCTAAACAGCTATTTAAGACTCGCCTTCTCTGCGCCTTCCCCTTTCTTCTCCAGTCCTGGGGACCGACCCAGGGCTATTTTGCACACCAGGCAAGCGCCATCTCAGAGATCTACCCTCAGAGGCCATTAGTCACCTTGCTTAGATCGGGGCGTTATGTTTCTGTTGCAAAGGACACCAAACTCCGTGTGCAGTCGTTGGTGGGCTCTGAAATCCTATCGTGGGGGCTTTTAAATACTGAAACACGTGGGTGTTTGCACTTTGGCTGGATCTCAGACTCCTGTAGTTACTGTTTCACTGATACATGCAGATCCTTCCTGAGTTGGCATGTTGCAGTATACCATTAAAAAAAAAAAGTCGTGAGGCAGGAGAGATGGCTTCCAAGTGCTGGATGCTCTTGCAGAGGACACAGGGTGACTCACGGTGGTCATCCATGACACCTGTCCACGGGTGGACTCCCTCAGTTGTGGTGCCCTGATGAGCGCAGCAGGGCTGAGAGGAACCCTTGCTTCCCCTCACAGCCTCGGTTTGGAGGCTCTGGTGCCCAGACTGAGCTGCGTGTATGTGACAACCCTTTCTTTGCCTTGCAGGGACCTGAAGCTACCACAGATTCTGCTGTGACGAGGTGTCGCCCAGGCTCCAGTCATCCTCAGTGAGAAGGTCCGAGAGTCTTACTCCAGGTACTGCCTGTCCCTTGGCACCCCGGAACTCGAACATTTTTGTGCTGAAATGTATCGTTCATTTCAACCCAACCTAACGGATAACTATAGTCCTGTCTTAGTGAATTCGGACATAGAACCTAGGGCCTTGCCTGTGCTGGAGAAGCACTCGACCTCTGAACCTTGCACGCAGCCCCTTCTTATATTTAAAATTCCCAACACTTTTTCAGACTTGAGAGTTTTGAGCGGAGTGGGGGTGTGGGTGGGGGTGTGGGGGGTAGGAGGGGTGGGGGTCAAAGTTGGCCAGAGAGACTGCCTTGCTTTTCTTTTTAAATAAAAGTAGCTCACCTAAAAAATAAGTTTGGGTTCCGCATAGAAAAAGGGTGCTACTGAAACTATACTTTAAAAGTCGATTGCTCAAATCAAGTGTGGCGGCGCACGCCTTGAGTCCCAACACTCAGGAGGCAGAAGCAAGCGGATCTTCGTGAGTTCGAGGCCAGCTTGGTCTGCACATCAAGTTACAGGACAGCCAGGGTTACATAGAGATCCTGCCCCTCATAATTAATTAATTAATTAATTAAAACACAAATAGTTGTGGGAAAAAACTACTGCTCTATCTACTTTCTATTAAATTACAAACATTCACTGGGTGTGGAGATTTCATTGTTTTTCTTGCTGTGTTATCATCTGAAAATGTTGACAGGTAAAGCTTTCAGTGTGGATAGAGGGCACACAAAGGGCAAGGAGTGTGTGTGTGTGTGTGTGTGTGTGTGTGTGTGTGTGTGTGTACAATGAACCTCACTCACACATTCCTACAGCCATTTATGGCCATTCACAGCCTTCATTCTTTCTGCCTATATTAAGAATGCCCACATAACCAGGTTCAGCAGACCACAGGAGTCCTTAATCAGAAGGCATTTGTGGGAGACATAGCCAGTGACCTGTGTCACATGTGAGTGACATGTGAGTGACTGTGCCTCAGCGCCTTGCCAGGAGGATTAAGAAGGGAGGAGGAAAGGGCTGGGGGGGGGGGGTGTCTGGATCTGTAGGGAGGATTAGGCTATAAGCAGTACCTGTTGACGAAGCCGCTGTAGCCTCATTAATAATGTCTTCCTGTCATTAATTCCGTTGATAATAATTCCCTTATAATAAGGCCTTCCTGTCTTGGCCAGGCATGTTTATGCCTCCTTCTTCACTGAGAACAGGGAGCTTCATGTAGTCATTCCTGAATCGGGGCGGGGGGGGGGGGAGGTGTAGTATACAGTAGTATACAGTAGGTACTCAATGAATATTCGTTGTGCAAGTCAGCTACTGTCTTCTCCCCACGTAGATAAGTGCGCCATGAGGTCAGGATCAGTGTATGGCTCATCTTTTGTAGGTTCTGAAATCCTGGAATGATTGCAGGTGTGGAGTAGTGATCCTAGGTGCAGAGTTGCCAGGTGTCCCTTCCCAAAGCCTAATGAGAATTAGGACCTCACCAGTGAGGAGCTGGGAGGGTGCTGTGCATGGGCAGGTGCCACTGGGTGCTGGGCTGAGAGAGCCTGGGCAACCCCGCTGTCATTCCGTGCACGCTTGTGTAGTCAAATGCTGAACTGAGAACGCACGTCTTGCTGTACCAAGTATTTCTGCTTGCCTAGTGGCCTAGTGGAGAGCAGCCTCCTCATGACCTAACACGAGGGTGTTGACAACCAGAGGAGCCTGGACCTGAGCTGCAGCGCCTTGGGCTTGGGAAATGCTGTACGAAAGCGTGTAGGGGAAGTCGTGGGTTGGTCCTCAGGCACAGGTCTGGAGTCATCGCTGCCAAATTGACAGCTAAAATCACCAAGGCAGCTAGCTCCCCACCATCCTTTCTTGGGAGAAGAGATACAGGGCGGGTGATGTCTGGTACATCACCGGGAGGCCTTCCTGTCTTGGCCAGACATGTTTATACCTCTGTCTGCACCAAGGACAGGAGCTACCTGTAGTCTGACTCCTCATCATGCACAGGGAGGGTTTGTAGTATACAGTAGGTACTCAATAAATGTTTGTTGTGCAGATGGTTGGGTCTCAACCATTACTTGCTTTCTCCCCCCCATGTAGATGAGTGCACCATGAGGTCAGGGGCCGTGTATGGCTCATCTTTTGTAGGTTCTGAAATCCTGGAATGATTGCAGCCCAGGGTGGAGACCTTCTTTTTTGGAGGGAGGGCCTTATATAGCCCTGGATGGCCTGAAGCTCCATCCATATATAGACCAGGTTGGACTCAAAGACCCACTGGTCTCTGCCTCTCAAAAAAGCTGAGAATAAAGGTGTGTGCCACAATATGCCTGAAACATTTTCAATGTGACTATAGGTAGTGTTTTTTTTTCATTTTAATTTAATATTATTTTTTATCAGTGTCACATGTATTTGTGATGTGTTGTGACCCATTTCCTCATGGTGTCGGACTGATTGGGCAGAGCTGCTGGCCAGGCAGGGTGAGGTAGCTCAGCTTAGAGATCTCCTGTAGCTTGTTGTCAAGGGGCCTGTCCCAGCATGGCGGCTTGCTGGGACAAACCAGTACAGAGGGGCTGCGAACAAGATGCGGGAGTGACAGCATCACCGTGGGGTTCTAAGGGTCTCCGGGTTCCGAGGCTGCTTCAGGCCATTCAGGTGGGACTGTGGGAGAGCTCATCTGGCTGTGCTCGCGTCTCTGGGCCCTGTGAGTGTGCTGGCCGGTGGCTGGTCTCAGGGTTCACACACAGCCTTACGGGGGAGCATGGTGGCTTCACCCTTCTTGAGAACTGCATTCTTCTGTTTGGTTGTGCAGGAACACGTGCTCTGGAATCTTCAAAGACTTTCTCATTGCTGTAGCAGCCGAGGAGTCCTCGAAGTAGGTGGTCAGGTGACAGTGGGGGCGGCTAATGGTCAGTCTTGCTTAAGACCTAAGTTGAAATGTCTGGATTCAGTGTTTAGGAGTTCTTTAAAGGGCTGGGAGTGTAACTCACCAGTGGGTGTGTGTCTAGCACATTCCATCCCCAGCACCAAATACCACATGCACACACCACACACACACACACACACACACACACACACACACACACACACACACACATGCCTTAAAAAATAGTAGACTAGACCTATGGCTTTCTTTTCAGATGTAGAATTGATCGTCAGAAAGAAGGGAGCATTTCACCTCGTTGGGTCCAGAATGTTGGCATTTGAGGCAGTGGGTCAAGTTCCGGTCCTGGAGTGAGGTGTGGTTACCACGTTACATTACCGATTAAAGCAAGCAGTTGACACAGCCATGACCTCTGCTAAAACTCCCTCTTGGTGGCCACAACACCCTCCCAGGGGGCAGTCAGTTTCATCCCTTTAGAATTCCTCCAGCATTCTGGGCAGCTTCCTCCACCTCCACGATGCTGGTCTCTGATCATTCAGATAAACATTCCGATCGATCTTTGAAGACCTTTGTGTAACTGGACATTTTCTTCCTGCTCTCTGAAGAAGTCAGACAAAGCAAACTTTCTCTCTTTGAGGCTGTTCTGTTCCTGCCTCCCAGGGTGGCCACCTACCTAGTGTACATGCATCACTCAGAAGGAAACCTCGTGGTGGGCACAGTATGACTGGGAGAGTTTGGAGACTGAGGACAGGTTTGGCCTGAATGAGTATTTTAGATTATAAATACCTTTCTTCCAAAGCGAGCGTCTGAGATTTTGGCCACCAGTGAAGCTGTGGCTTAGAATAAGACAGGAAGACCTACCATAAAATGTGGCATTTCCTGTGTAGGAATTATTTGTGCATGACTTCTGCCTAGATAGTACCCATGGCAACCAGGGGGCGTGTGTTCTGTGTACCTGAAGGCTCTTTGAGAAAACAGGGTCAGGAACAACTGGCAGGTAAGTCCGACAGGTTGTAACATTTGCTTATGCAAAGATACTTTCACCAATCAGATTAAAATACTGCTCAAGGCACCAAAACAGGAGGCTGTACCCCAGCAACCGGAAGTCCTTGGACCTGGTTTTCCCCCCTCCTCCGGTATTTTTCACAACAAATCTGGATTAATCTTCCCCTAAGTAGAGGTGTGAATCCTGAGGTGTGAGTGGAGCAAGGCCAAGCTAGACTCCTCTAGGCGTTGGCTCTGCCGAGCCCTCCTGCCTCTCCCTGGCTTCTGACCAGCAGTACCGTTTCTGGTGTGTTGCCCCACACAAGCACCAGCAGCTGCAGGTGCGTGCCGTTTTCCTCCCCAATACTGGCTGGAAAGTAAAATTCCTTATGTCCCTCACAGTCTGTATCACAAAGATGTGTGCTGGGAAATGCCCCCACCTCCCTCTCTCTCCCTCTAGCTCAACAGCCACGAGCTTCCGAATAACCTATGAATTATTCCTTTTCCCCAAGCCTAATCTTCAGAATTCATGTGGGCTCTTCCAGCTTGGGCCTGAGTGAGAGAAGCCTGGCTTTTTGGCATTAATTCCGAAGCTCGAAGAAATACCTAAAAACTCAGCTGGAGAGGGCTGTCCTGATCTTTTGACTCTTGGCTGTTTTCATAAAGCCAATAAAAATGGTTCAGTATTAATAATTTCGTATGTGTAGTCAGACTTTTTTGTCAGGACAGTCAGCTCTGCAGTAATGACATGGAGACTTATTATTAATTATGAAAGCTCGGCCCATAGCTTAGGCTTGTTTCTAACTAGCTCTTGTAACTTAAATTAACCCATATTTATATTAATCTCTGTTTTGCCTCATGGCTTTTTACCTCTCTTCCATCTTGTACCTCCTGTTTCCTCTCCGTCTGCCTGGCGACTCTGTCTTCTTCCCAGAGCTCTCTCTGTCCAGAAGTCCCCGCTGTACCCCCTGCCGAGCTCTTGGCCATTTATCTTTTTATTAAACCAACCACAGTGACACATCTTCACACAGTGTGAGGGAATATTCCACAACACTGATTCTGTACAAAAGACTGTTTCACTCAGTCCAGGGCAGTGGCTAACAGAATTTGAAGCTGTCCGGGCCCTGGGGTATGGAGCGGGGCTCTGCTGTAGGAGGCGTGAGCATTTCTGGGTCAG